CCAAAATGGTCTAATCTAAAAACTGGTAGCAGACATTTCTCAATGGCCTAAACAATAGTTTGACATGTTGGTGACTTCATAGCTTATTAGAGGTCTGGAGTTAGTCACATTCCAACTCTGCCATTTTCTAGTTAGTGGCTTTGGGCAAGTTTTTTTTTTTTTTTAACCTCCCTAAGCCTCAGTTTCCATATCTGTATATTGGAATGATAATAAAACCTAACTCAAATAATTATTTTGAGGGTGAAATAGTGAATGCATGTAAAACACATATGTGCAATGTCTAGCACATAATAAATGCTCAATGACTATAAATAAAAAATTAGTATTGTAATTGGAGAATTGAATCCAGCTCTTGTCATATTTTAGATTAGGCTTTGGGTCCAAGAAGACCTATTCAATTTTATGCCAAATTTCTTGGGCGAGATTCTCTTTGAGGAGAAAGTCCAGAACTTTGCTCAGATTCTCAAAATCTGAGCCCCATGAATTAGATGACTATGGAGACTAAAGAAACACCCAAATCTTCCTTGTCAACAAGTACCGTATTTTTTGGACCATAAGACGCACTTTTCCCCCCCCAGAAGTAGGGGGAAAAAGTCCCTGCGTCTTATGGTCCAAATATAGCCTACACATATACTTTAAAAAAAAAGTTTTTTTACTTGCCCGGCTCTGTGTGGTCTCTGTGTGCTTGCCCGGCTCTAAAATGGTTCTAAATGCTGCTGTTTACTTTACAGGGTTGATTACATGTGTTTATGACTGTGATGTTGGGTTTTAATGCACATAAAATATTTTAGAACACTATTTGTTTCAGAATCTTTTTTTCTTCATTTCCCTTCTCTAAAAACTGGTGCATCTTATGGTCCAAAAAATACGGTAACAACTTCCTGCCCTAAGAAAATCCTTTGCTATACGGAATTTATGTAACAACCTAAGCGATTAGGTTGGATTTTCTCACATTGCAAAATCTGAGTTCTATCTCATTTCACCAAAATAATCTAAACGTAAAGGTAGGCTGTGAAGACATTGGAAGAAAGACTACTAGGTAAGTGTAGGAGTAGGAAGGCAGAGTAGATTTTAGGGAAGACAGGTATTTCCTTCTTTTCTTCTCATAAAGAGGGCAGCCTTGTGTTGTCTTATTAATCTGACCTTAGCTAATGTTCATTGAAGACTTGAAATTCCCTCACTTGCTAGTGAGAGTGTCTGTCTACAGGACTAGTGAGACCTTCTGGGACATTAGTCTGGCTTCCTATTGTAACAGGAGCATTTGGACACTATACAACCTTTGTTTTATTTTGACTGCAAACCTCATGGCAATGGAATTGACATGACCACATTTGGGGTTGATATTGAGTTAGCTTTGTTGTAGATGTTTAAGACTGTTCTTTGATGGATTTGATAACATCACTAATCCTGTTAAGAAACCATACTTCCTATGGCTCCAAGGGCTCATAGTATTCATGAATTGCTTTCTTTTCTCAAAGGAAGATGCTAATTTCCTACTCTGTCAGTATCTATAAAAGGAAAGGGGGTAAAAACTAAAGAAAATCAAGTATGTGAGCATAGGTCACCCCAAACAGGCTATTTTCTCTTACACTGGCACTCTAACAATATGTAAAATAAGGACCTCCCACCCATAATTATTTTCCCTTTGCCATTCGGATCTGCCTTGAGAAATTTCAAGGGCTCCATTAGGAAGAAAACTTCTAAAAACCATAGAAATCATATTGCTTTTGGAAGTGCTAATGTGAGTGGTAAGCTATGCTGGCTGAAGCAGCAGGTCTCCAACTGCTTCACCTCTTATCAGTGGTTTAGCTTTGTGAATGAGAAATTCAGAGGCAAGTGTATAATTTTAAATTCTGATTACCACAAAGAAAGAAATGCATCTACATGCCAATGCAGTAGCTTTGACTATTTTAATGGAAATATGTTGGAAATGGGGGGACCTTCCACCAAAGAGAAAGTGATAAAAGACCAAAAGAGAGACATTTTATATTTGAGATAAAAGACCTATTTTCTAAAGTTGTTTCTTTTTTGATAACTTTCCCCCACATCTACTTCTGGGGCACCAGGCAAATGCATTTTCTAGGAACTGCTTTGTTATCTTTCTTGCTCCTAAGATTTCCTGGTGCAGGGGAAAGCTAGAAGATGGGTCTTGTTTACAACGTACTCAAGTGAGGTTTTTCACCTTTCACAGAGCCTTAAAGATTAAGAACCAGGTGCTTACATGAATCTATGTATATCTTTTTGTCCAAGCGTTGTGCTACCTTTTACCTAAAATACACAAAGGCAAGATACTCTATCTAGCTGAAGGGCAGGGTTGCCCATTGAATCCTCCTTTGGTTGAATCCAGATAAAATGCTGAAGGACTCCTTTCAAGATGCCAATTAGACTCTATAAAATGGTGGTTGTTTTCATTAAAAGAAAAAAACCCACATTTCCTCCCTGACACAAATATTCATATTACAAAAACTCATTCATACTGATGCTATTTTAACAATATTGAGTAAAGCTGGGATTACTGACAGGGATGTTGACTGAAGGGACAGATCTCAGGTAGGAACCTGCCTTCCCACACAGAGGCAGATACGGAATTCAAAAGAGTCCTCTTTGCATGAAAGAACAAAGACCCAGGGCCTTGGAAAAAAATGAAACTGGAATTAACCTGGTTCATCTCAGCAACAGCTTGATGAAAGAATGGTACAATATTTTTTCTTCCTACATATTTTAAGATGATTCTTTCAGCATTTCTATTATTGGTCTCACCAACCATTCAGGCCAAGTGTGGTCATAGCATTGTAAGTACAATGCGGGTATGAGCAACTGAGGTGGTGATGCCAAAAATACATGTTAAGTTAAAATATGCTCAGAAGGACCATGGAATGGGCATCTTTTTGGACTATGGGGAGGTGAGATGGAAACCTCTAAGTAGAGGCTGTAGAAATAGTCTCTTCAGGGGGAGAGATTCTGAATTTAAATCACAGGAACCCTGCTTCATTTATTGCCACATTAGAGGCAGACAGGAGGAGCCACCTATTAAAGGGCCAAAGAAAAAAAACTCTTGGAGTACCACAGCTTTTCTTTCCTTCTATCTTCCTCTAATTCCATCCTCCCTGTTCACCCCAGATCTTGGGAGCCTGAATTTCTGACAAGTGGATCAAAATTTTTTTTTTTTTTTGTATTAAGCACAGCTTAAGACTAAGTTTTTTCAGTGGCCGAGTATTTCTATTCTCAAGGACAGATGGACATGTAGGCTTACTCCATGCTATTGTGAAGTCTTTCTGTGCTGCTGTTTTCTACATATACCATAAATGACCTCTACATCAGGGGTCAGCGAGCTTATTCTATAAAGGCCAATTAGTAACTATTTACTAGTAATGCATTGTGGGCCATGAGATCTCTGGCACAGCTACTCAACCCTGCTGTTACGGTAGGAAATTGGTCATAGACAGCAGGTACAAAAATGGATGTGGTTTTGTTACAATCAAACTTTATTTATGAAAACAGGTGATGAGCTGAATTTGGTTTAGGGACCACAGTTTGCTGACCCCTGCTCTAGAATTGAACTTCAAGCAATCTTTGGTCCATGGTGGCTGGATAGACAATGAAAATGATCCAAAGAAAACTGATGTGAAAGAAATGAAAACCAATGAAAGTTGATAAGATCTAGTCCTTGGGTAACATAATTCAAAAGCCTCATATCAAATTTCCATCTACATAGAGGCCACCATAGGAATTTCGAAAACCTCCATTACCCCTTCATAGTTTCCCAAGACTGTATCTTTATGACTTAGTGAAACCTAAGTGCTAAATCTACCTGGAGATCAATTTTTAATTTTTAAAACTCTTCTGAAGAATATGAACATACTAGACCATCTAAAATATTGAAGATTCATTTGAGTTCTCTGTTTGTTATGCCACCTGTTGCTTAATATACAGAAAGATGTGATTGTCTAGAAACCATTATATATAATGATTAGAAAGAATCTTATTTTTTAAAATTAAAGGTTCTCAGATTTTAATGTAAAAGATATATATATATATTTTTCCAGAATTCAGGTAAAACTTTCATCACCATGAACAAATATTCTAGTTGAAGGAAGTAGGGAGAAAAAAAAAGTACATTGAAAAACTTAGAATGCATTTTACCACATTTGGAGTCTGAACAGAAATACATAATGTAATCCATGCCAAATTTCCTGCTCATTACCTGGTATGCTGTGGTCACTTAGCACAAAAGAAGTTCAGGATTTTATGTCATGTCTGTTCCCCATGGCTGCTTGATTTTTATTCTTGGCAGCTATGATTATTTCTGTTTTATTTGTGATGTGATTACCTTTGGGATAAACTTTGTAAGTGGGATCAATACCAGTCTTTTTTATTGTTTATAAAATTCCCAAGGTGCTGACCTCAGCTTCCAGGTGATGATTAGAACAAGATCAGAGGGAAGAGATTTAAGAACCTTTTGTTTTCTTGTCATCTATACACTGTGTACTTAAGGTGGCAAAATGCAAGGATGGTAAAAACACTTTGTCGAAGGTATTCAGCCACAAAGGACCTCCTCATAGCTACTTCTGTTTATCTGAATGGTATGGAATAAATGCTCCCAATAGCCAAGGAGGACCTTTCCCAGCTGGCCAAGCCCTGTGTGTGGTAAATACAGATTCTGGCAGCGTGATCCATAGGCTATAAGCAATACTGATCCAGAGCAACTTGGTAGCTTTTTTAAAATTCTTTTTTAGACCCTAGTGTTATAAACTTAGCAATCTCATGATCTGACCATTGAGCAACCCACTTCTTCTGTATGGGACATTGGGCAAGAGTGACTAGAGGGAGCTGATGTCTGGAAGCCAGCAGGGCCATGGTCAGGCTGGGACCACCCATCCCACCCCCCCCACACACACACACACTTTTAAGTGACTAAGCAACACACAGCTTGCTTCTACGTCCCACATATGCAAACCATAGCTCAATGCTTGAGTGTCACCTCAAAGATATCCAACTTCATTTTATCTCCTATGACAAATCTTACCCTGCTTGTGAAATAAAAAATTAGGACCTTGCTGAGAAACAAAAAGATGCCATTCAGGCCTATAAATACTTCATTTAGGTCTGGGGGGGCCACACCAGGACTATCTAAGCCAAGTGTGTTACCATGATCTATGCAGTGTTGCACTTGGCTTGTCAACCTGCTTTTAAGATGCCCAGTCACTACTAAACCATCCCCTTCCAATCACCCAAAATAAACTACAGGAAATGATAAGATAAATAGGATGTGCTTCTCCTTGCTGAGTGCATTGACTTAAGGCATAGGCACATTTCCCCCTCTTTGAACAGAGATGGTGTAATCCCCTGTCCCAGCACAAGAGCTGGCCAGGGTGACCCTGGAGCATGATGATGAAGGTGGAGTGATGGGTGGTAGCTGATGGCGGGAATTAGTTGTTTCCACAGTTGAGGGAGTGGGGGCACAGTGATTCTGATAAAGATACTTGATTCAGTTTATGCTATACATCAGTAAGCCTTTGGGTGGGTGGTGTGTAGTGCTTTAGATCTGTTATTCTTGGAGGAAACATAATGGTGGATTTCAGAATATGACTATCCTTACACCGCAAAAAATATATAAGAAGATCAAAGTCAAAGTCAGTGAGTGTGTGGCTCTACCTACCAATCCTAAGAAAATATAAAAATATTTAGGTTGCTCTTAGACTTCCATCTGCAAATGGCTCCTCTTGGGGTTTGAGGTTCCACTCTTGTTAATTTTGATTGATGCTATAATTTTGGGTTGGAGTCTATTGAGTAAGTTAGAAATGAGGACAGAACAGAATTTGAGCCATTTCCCCCTTTTAAACAGAGATGATCACCCATTACTCTTTGCCTGGAAGGCCATAGAGTAGCTTCCAGCCAACTGAAGAGCAGCTGTTATCTGACTTTGTGCTGATTTATGATTCCTGTTTTGACTAGGGGGTTATATGTGAGTTTGAAGGAAGGAAGAGAGGAGTTGGGTGAGCAGTTTACACTGCGAAAATTCCTCCTCCTCCTCATTCATCCAAATATTTGACTGCAGAGGCAGACCAACCATTGGGTTTCCATGGTTGACTTCTGTGGGAGGAGTCTCCAGCCTCACTCCAGCTGCAAAAGGAAACCAAATGCCCATTTTTAATCCCCGGGTCTCAGCGCTTGAGCATGACCTGGAGATTCCCGCCATCACTGCCCTTAAATGACACTAAAGGAGGTGTGGATGCTGTTTGGTGAGTGTCTGATAACACTAAGTGATTCTGAAGGATCTCGGGGTGCAGAGCCTGATAAGTGTTTTGATTTTTTTTCTTGTAGGTGGTAGGGTGGGGATGGAAATGATGGTATCACAGGGTCACCCATGGTTCCTTTTGTACTGAAACCTCATTTTATACAGAGGATATATATATATTTATTTATATATATTTATATATATTTATATCCGTTCACTCACACACACACACACTCACCCAAGCACACGCGCGCGCACACACATAAGGTCTTTGATAGGCTTTCTGTGTTCTAGTAAAAATAGCTGGCAGCCCGTGTCTGAAGCCAGAAAAAGGCCTTCTGCTGCCGACAGCGTCCACTGTGGAGAGTCTCTCAAAGGCAGACACTTGTATTTATCTGACAAGTGGAACCGGTTCCTGCCTGGGACAGGAATAGTCTCCCATTGGCGCAGACGCAGAGCTCGAAGACCTTCTGCCTCGTTCCTGTGGGTGTGTAGGATCCGTGAGGCAGCCTAGGTAGTTTGATTTTCGCAGCATCTAACTTAATCTAAAGAGAGTAGACAGGAAGGGAAGAGTTAGAGGCTGTCCTTGACCCTCCCAGCAATCAGAAATAGCAGATGCATGTTCAGTTCCACTTGGATCAAATGAGCACATACTCTGAGTACTGTAGGTACCAGGGATGTGGAGATGAAGGAGACAAAAGCTTATATTCCAGTGAGACGACATTGCACTGGATGTATATTAGCATTTTGCAAAAGCATATCATGTAGAATGTGAATAGAGTCCTAGAGTGAAATACACTTGGGAATGCTAGCTTTAACCATTTTCTTTACGTTGGCACTTCTCAGACCCTCAATACGTCTGTGTGTATGGTATGTCTTCAAAAATATATAGCATTTTCTGGGCTTAAGTGAACGCTACAATATAACCAATCCCTTCTGTCTGAATTCTGACAGCGATAAACCATGTACATGATGCAGTCGCTGCTCTAAGTGTGTGTGGTTTGGAGTTTCTGGCTGTTTGGAGAGACAGTTTTGATAACTGACTACTCTATCTGTGATACTGTATTTGTTTTAAAAGAGCTAGTCAAATGCCAGACCCATCAGAAGGCGGGCTTGGCGAACAGTGGCAGCTGGAGACGAATACCCTTAAGTAGCTCCGAAAGGGCGGGTAGAGTTTTGCTTTAATAAAGAGAAAACACTTTTCCTTATTAAAAAAATTCTTCAATAGAAAACTTTGCTGATGGACACAGTGAAGGCACTTTAAATAGTTTGCAGCTGAATCATGTTTTCTTTGGGGATTTGGCTCACTTTGCACAAACATGAGCAACTATTCCATCCACCCAAATGAGGCTGTGTTGGGTTAGGAGGATGAATGTTTGCAATCTGTCAAGTGAAGTTTTGGCTTGTTCTGATTTGGGATAGCTGTTGGACCTGACGCTCTATACTCAATGAAAGTAGAAACAGGCAACACCAACTTTAAAAAAGGATTACCAGTAAATTTCGTTCATCTTTAGCCGGAAGCGTGCGATATACATCTTAGTTTGCCAGCTACATAAATCATATTTTACGATGACAACAGACAGAATTTGGAAATAGCATTCCTCCCTACAGCCATATGCATTTTTTGTACTTGGCTATTATTTCAGCACCTTATAAATACCGAGGCATAACTTTAATGTACTGTTGGTTTGGCTTATCATTGTCTTGGTCGACGTATCTGTTCCCAAAACAAAACCTTCCGGTTGGCTCCTTTGGTTGTTAAGAGTAGGATTAACTTCAGTGCTAAAGGGAGGAACCAACCAGTTTGGGGAAAGGCTGGTTGGTTGCAGCTTCATCTCTCCAGACTCCTGGCCTTCTCAGCCCCTACCTCTCCATCTTTGGACTCCAGTCTCAGCTCTGTCCTGCAGGTGGCTTCCAGATTGCCGGCTTCTGCATTTATTTCTACTCCTTTTGGGGCCTCCATCACCAGAGACCGGGTTGGGGACTCCAACCTGAAATATATACAAGACTAAGATTAAAGATCCCATTTCAGATTTTTTGTGTATGTGTGCATGTGTATGAGGAAAATTTTAGAGCATTGAAGGGGCACTTCAGTATTTGCTCAGGGCATTTGTCTAGCTTTGCTTTACAAATCTGGTCACATTGATGAGAGAGAGCACAGATCTGGGCTTCACCCTCATTGCACATCATCATGCTGAGCCAGAGAAGGAAATATCAGGAAAGGTATTGCCAGATTAGCTAAATTGATCAAATACAAATTTACACCAGTATGTCATCCTGTTTTTAATGGCTGCTTTGGCTTAAACACTGTATTCAGTGGAATCCATTTTAACTTCTAGGTTAGAAACTGATTGAAATTAGCATCTTCAAGAAGGAAGGACAAACTTGGGATTTCCTATATAGCATCTTCTTTGAAGTCAAGTTACTCTGAAATCCATGGTCTTCATAAATCCAGTAGCTATGTAATTTTTATGAATGGAACTGCTGAAGTTTTAAAGATCTGCTTGTCTTTATTCTTTTAAAAATATATTTTTATTGATTTCAGAGAGAGGAAGGAGAGGGAGGAATAGAACTTCAATGATGAGAGATTTATTGATCCAATGTTTTCTGCATGCCCCTTAACTGGGAATCAAACCTCAACCTCCCAATTCATAGATTGACACTGAGCCACACTGGCCTGGCAAAATCAGTCTGTCTTTAAATAATAAGTTGAAAATCTAAGCAGAATACTCTAGAGTTGTGCTCTATAAAGATTTAAGAAATGTGTTGGATATAGTCATTTAAAGGCAATTTCTTTCAGAAATACAGTGATATTCTGTCCTTATAGAGCAAAGCCATTTTGAAGTTTGCTTTTATGAAAGGCAATCTAGACCATTACACAACACTCTTTTGAATCAATCCTTCCTTCATAGAGTAGAACTTGGTTTATTTAATAAACATTTATTATACTAGACCTATAGAGACAGAGAAGTGGCCTCTTTCCAAGCCTGGAAGAGTTGTTAGGAAGTGACTCATTTATCTGGACAACATCTATTGAATTCCTATTATATGCAAAATGCTGGGGTTATAGTTGCAAACAACATAGACCTCCTTGCCTTAGTGAGTTTATGTGCTGTTGTGGAAGAGATACATTAAGCAGCTATTGGTTTATGGTGACAAGGATTCCTTAATGAAGAAGTTCAGGGGATTATAAGAGTTTAAATTACTGGGGACTGGCTTGTGGGAAGAGTTGGAGTCTGTGAAGACGTATGATGAGTTGGAGTCTGTGAAGACGTATGATGACAACAAAGGATAAGGAGGAGTTAATGCGGTGAAAGATGAGTGTTCCAAGAAGAGGGAGAAGCATGCATGAAGACTTTTAGGAGAAAAATAGTTATGTGGCTTAAAAATTGAAAGAAAGTTCATAGAGACTGTGGTAGTAAGAAGAAGAGGTAAGAGATAAGTTAGGCATGGCCTTGCAGAATATGGTGACACAATTTATAGAGGCTTAAAAAGATATGGACAACATGAACTGATGTCTATGTTGGAAAGATTACTGTGGTAGTTAACTTTATCTGTCAATTTTATTGGAACACAGGGTGCCCAGGCATTTGGTCAAACATTGCTCTGGGTGTATCTGTGAGGGTATTTCTAGATGATAGAAACGTTTAAATCAGTAGATTGCCCTCATTCCCTCATCCAATCAGCTGAATACCTGATTATAACAAAGGCTGAATAAAAAGAAACTTTGTCCGCCTACATGAACTGGGACATTGGTCTTCTTCTCTCAGACTGAAACTCACCCCACCACCTCTCCTGGATCTCTAGCTTGCTGACTGCAAGTAAGGACTTCTCAGCTTCCATTATGAGGAGAACCAATTCCTTACTATAAAATCTCCTTATATATACTGTTTTAGTCAGGGATCTCCAGACATACAAAACAAACAGGGTGTTTATATGTATACATAAAATCTGGTTATAGAGTGGATAAGAAGGGATATGAGAATGGAAAGAAGAAGATGGTAACTTGGATTTGATGATAGGATTACAAATGATTTCCAGTGTTGTGAGTTTTATAACTGGTATACTGTGTGCGTCAGCCACTAAGGTAGGAAGAGTGTAGGTGGAATACTTAGAGGATAAGAGCAGAAACTTGTGAGTGCAGTTTAGGTGGGTTGAATTGGAGGTGGTTGAAACATCAGGTGAGAATGTGGATGTGCAGGACTAGAGATAGAAATGGAAGAGGTGTGCTTGGTCATGGTTGGCAGAAGATTCCTATGTTGCTGAGTTATTGACAGTGTGTATACACAACCTCAAAAAAAAAAAAAACACAACAAAAAACTGAAATCGTACTCAGAGTCTGGAGTGTCAGTTTGAAGACTAGAAATGCATTCAGCTAAGTCGCAATGTAGGTAGCACCCTACCAAGGTGAATATTTCATTTGAAATGTCCTCACCTTATAGCTGGAGACAGAACAAGATCCTGACCAGAGATCCAAAGTTCCCAGATGCTGTTGCCTTCTAAGGTGGTCTCACAGCTCCTGGGTGGCCCAGGGAATATGACAAGGACAAGCTTGGTTGTGTCTCCTCGGTTTATAGGAAGCCCTGGGGAGATGCTTTCTCTATGCAACCATCATTTCCAGACACATCTGTGCATTCATTTGAAACCTCTCCTTCTCTGCTCAAATTGCATTTCAAGTACCTGTGAAACATGGGCGGCAAGTGTCCCTTTCCTCCGCAGTTACACTAGGAAGTGCCATGAATCAAAAGAATTCACAAAACTTAAAAAGCTATCACAAGGTCTGTTTCTAACACTCAGAGAATAATTTATTTGCTGTTGGCATTATCAGTTTGTTCTCTCTGTTTCAAGCTCATTTTTTTGTTGAAATTGTTTTTGTTGAAACAGTGATTACTTATCCAGATTTCTCATTTTCATTTCCTTCATCATAAGAATCTACATTAATCACTTCCAAACCTAGACAAGCTTTTAGATCATATTTTGCTCCTATCCTCAGAGAATGGAGACAATGGCTTTTATTACTTTGGGGAACGACCTTCAAAACATCATAAAAAACAAGTAATGTATGTAGTTAAGTGAAATAGCAGAAGGTTAGCCAGCAGTCTTTCCGAGGAAGAGCATATTCACACTAACACCAGCACCTGGGATTACTGTGTATGTTCTACGTTTGAGGGGCGGGGGGAGGAATTAGAAAAAGTTATGATTGAAAGGTAAACAATTTAGAAAAAAATGATGGGAGGATTTGTAAAGTTGGCGGTGCTTTAGTCAATTGAAGTAGTTGCTTTCAGGTCATTCTTGGATTGGCTGGGAAATTTTTATTCAGTTAGAATCACATGAGGAGCTTTTGAAATTTGGGTCCAGTTTCATTAAGTCAGACTTCCAGGACATCTACATTTCAAACATTTATATGGTGATGGTTGAAAACCACTGACTTAGACTTAGCAGATTGTGTGTTATAGATACACAATTTTTAATACGGAACCTTTACCACTTCACTGGTGGAAATAGAATGGTTATGATATTTTTAATTTTTTGAAATGAATTTGAGAGCGAGAAACATCACTTTGTTGTTCACTCATTAATGGATTCATTGGTCGATTCTTGCATGTGCCCTGACGAAGGATTGAACAGGAAACCTTGGTATATTGAGATGATGCTCTAACCAACTGAGTTAAAGGGCCAGGGCTAGAACGATTATGATATTACTTCTAAGGGAAGAATAACCAAAACTGTGACCTCAGGAGCTAAGTTAATGTTCTTGATAAAATAAAGAGCTGCAGTGCCTACTCTGAAGGTTCATTGTATTATAAGGGCCACTTGCAATTTTGAGTTGTTAATCTTATGATAATGTGTATATAAACTCTTAGCATACCAGTGGGGCTCTACTCAAGGAGTGTGTATGCTAGTATTTCTCAAACAATTTCTTCATTGATCTGAAATTCACTAGCTCTGGTTAATCTTTAAGAGCTCCAAGTTGAATTCATATTTCAAGAAAGTACCATATTTAAGTTGTGCTCTTTGATAAATAAATAGTTATGAACTAACAGCCTTGTTGAAAAACCTGAGTTGCTTCAGCAATAGGCTACTTTGAAGTCATGATACAATTTTGATGCTGCACAACTTTCAGAGCACCGCACTGGCTGCCAGCATGCCAAATACCATGGTCCATTTACTTTTCAGTTTAAAAATTCATAATACTCCCTCTGACCACTTCTTCTTGCCACCTTTGTGACTCTTCCTGTATTTCTGAGGCTAAAAGTGTGACATTTTGCCAATTAGGAACCTCAGAGAGAAACCTAGTGTCAAGTGCTAGTGACAGACTTAGATCCACATCTCATCAGTGAATTTATGTGATGTGCCCTGTGTAGTGGGTGTTTTTCATGTGTATTGTCCCATCTGATGTTCACTACCAGCCCCACTTGTGAGAGGAAGGAGTGGAGGGTATGAGAAGTTAAATATCATGGTGCAGACCAAGTGCCTACAGAGTTGCAGCTCCAAGCATGGCCTTCTGATTCCTAGCAGATAAGCTTTATAATATTCCCTGGTTCTGATAGTTGAAAAACAGTTCTACATTTTAGGTAGAAATCTCATCCTGTAATCTGCTATGTCACCTAGAGTCTCCATAGGTTAGCATTTCAAATTTATAAAGATAAGCATTTGTTTTTAACAGTTTGGTTATTCCTTTATCCAGGTGAAAAAGGATCTTCAACAGAATCTTCAGTGATATGACTCGAACTACCCTCCTGGCCATCCTGTTGCAATGCATGGTAGGTCCATTTGCCTCATCCTCTAACCTTCCTGTGTGTCTGTTCCTTTCTCAGTCTTCAAGTTTTGCTTAAATGCCACCTATTTCCCTGACCACCTTTTCCATCACTTATGGACATTCCTTCATGCTACTGAACACAATTTGTCACTATTTGTAATCATTTCTTTCTTCTAGAATAAGGTCTGTAAAGGCAGGAAGCTAACTAGATTTCTGCCCAGGTCAAGGATG